CTTTAATCCCTTGTGTCTTACCAAAGAAATGAAGAAACGCACACACGTATAGCACCTTAGTCCTTCCTAGACAGGCTTCTGCAAACCAGCCAACCAGAACAGGGGTGAGTGTGCTGGCTCCTATGAAGCACAGGTTGACTGTTGCAGCGAGGTAGTTGTCATATCCGAGCTTCACAGTGCAAAATAGAATCATGTTACATACAATCCCAAAGAAAGTGAACCTTTCAAACAACTCCACAAGAAGTACACAGATGATCACTTGGAGCTTCTTGCGAGGCTTCTTTCGTGGTCTCTGGTCTAGATGAGGCGTGTGGGAGATACGTCGCAGTGGGCTTCTGCCCTCTGGGAGTCTCCTGAAGTCTCCTGCTACCATCCCGGGCAGCTCTTCTGCTTGGTGGGGTGAATGCTGTCGGTAAAGAGCTTTGAATGAGAACTGCTGCCCTTGTCGGGAAGGAGTAACAGAAGCTGGAATCTCACAACCAGGTGTGACTCTGACACTGGACACGTATACTCAGCCACACCCACCTGTTTTCTGCAAATGGCCATACCTGATTCGTCCATCTTTATTTTACTGGGAACTGTGGATGTATTACTCAGATTTCACACATTATGAAAAACTATATAAGGGAGGAGTGATGGATGGGAGCTATTTAGAGGACAACCCTAAAATATTTCTAATATTTCAAAAGATAAACATGTGGCTGTTTGATTTATTTATTTTTGTTTTTTTAAATAATGATCTTTAATGCTGTGAAGATAGCATTATTATCCAGATCAAACGGGTTCAATTTCACTTCAAGTCATCTTATAAGATACCTGGTATAAATAATGAGTTAAATAATGTTGCCAATGAATGGTCTGTCATGTGATGATAAATATAATCAGTTTATTAAGTGGAGCTCTGGAGTAGTAGTAGTTCGTTATTGGGCTCATTGTATTCCCAGAAACTAATGTCTCCCTTTGAAGGTTAATCTTTCCATGATTGAGGTTAACCATGTTTGCTGACATGCTCACTGTTTTCAGGTAACATGATCACAGTTGTATTGTGGGAACGTACGATATTATTGTAACATTAAAAAATAAACAAGTGCAGAAGGTTTTACAAACACTCACAAAATATTACATGTCTCTGTGAAAGCAGCTCTTCTCTTCACTTCCCTGTACAACCTCATTTTGACTGGCCTGCTGGTAATTAGACTCAAAATGTTAAGTGAGAGTGAGACAGGGTGCATGTGCAGGTTAGCTTCAACTAAAGGAGCTCTGAGACAGACGGCATTTTATCACTGTAGGAGGTGAACTAGCTGTCCAAACAAGCACTGAACATTGGAATTCATTAAAGTACACAGTCTACAGTCCTTAATAGACCTATTTTTAGACTTATCTACATTTTATTGATATGCTGACAACATTTAATGATAAGCACCTTGCAATAATACTACCAGAAATGAAGCAAGAGTCCAATCAATATATCTGATTTCTCTGTCTTCCCCACCTTTAGGAATGTCCCATGTAATAAAATATGATAGAAGCAGTCATTCTAATGAACCTCACAAAATGATTGAAGCTTTATCATATTTAAATGTCCCAATTGCCTTCTTTAATGAAGAAACAGCTAAAAGTTTACACACAGTGTGTTACACACTCATCACAAACATGAATGGCAAGGATAATTTTGGGCTTCATATGATGTCTTTGAACTTTTTTCCAGATTGGAATGGTTGTACAGTATACATCTTTAATGCGTTAGAAAACAAGAATTAAGTTAAAAAGTTTGAATTTCTTTTCGGATTTAATCCTTTAAAGCAAAAGAAAAAAAAAGTGGCCTATATTTTAGTGTAATTTAAATTGGGAAGTAATATACAAACGTGAGGTTTTGTACCATTATTGCTTTAAATAAAAAGTGGAAATGTGAAGCTGTTTGAGCAGTTTGATTTGGACTGTTAAACTGCATGCGTTTTTGTGGTGTCGCC